GCGGTCCCTGGCGGGGGGCCGTCCCAGCTCACTAACGACCCAGAGCCGCGTCCCCGTCCGATGGCTGCTTTGGTGGGCGGGAAGCCTCCCTCCCGAGGCATCAGCCCCGGTACAGATGAGAAGGTTTGCTCCGGAGGAAAGGAGTTTGCGGCACAAAAAGCCAAGCGCGCCTTCTTGCACCAAAGCCTCGCAGGGCCGTCTGAACAGCAGATTGTCCAAATGCTGTTTTTTTTTTCCCCTGCCATTAGAGCTATTTTTAACAGCTATCAGCCTTGACCAGCGGTCCTGGATTAGCGGCAGGGCAGATTTAATGGCCGGAGGCTGCACGGTTTCGCAAGAGCCGCCCAGCCGGGCACATCCAAGCCCCAAATCACACCTCTGCCTGGGCACGGCACCAGTTACACCGTCCCCCTGCCCCTTCATCCAACCCCATAGGGAAACAATCAGACCTACCAGCCCTTCTCAAAGCGGCTCCCCGCTGGCGTGGGGCTTCCCGCTAACCAGCGCTGGGTCTACAGGCAGCAGCTCTAAGGCAGCCTTCAAAACCCAAGTCGCGAGCCCACTTTGCTCAAGTGCCTGTCTTTCTTTATAAAATAAAACCGCTGCAGTCTTTTACAGCGGAGCAATATTGCAATTGCGAGCGGCAGCAATTGAGGCCATTACTGTTGAATGCCACGGGACGCCGGTGGCACACTACCCATTACCGCCCGGGGAGCCCGAGAGAACAAGCGTGGGAAGCAACGCTCCTGCTACAGCCCCTTCTCCTCCGCTTGTTTAGATCAGTTACCACCTGAAAAATACAACAGGCAAAGCTCACAGAAAAACTACGCCATGGGAACAAGCCCCCATAATAAATACCAAAAAATACAAGCAGGTAGTTGGGAGCGAGAGGTTTCCCTGTCCAACACGATGCGGCCGAAGAGGACAGCATGCCCACCTCATCAAAAACCAATTGTATCAAAGGTGGACACCAGTCCCAACGGAGCAGTGCTACCCAGGACACTCAGGCTATTTGCTTTCTTGTTGCCCACACCCTACAAGCACACGTGGGATGCTCTCAGCCTTTTGCTGAGATGATGGCATGCTCATCCAAAGGCTGCCGTCACATCAACCCGAGCCTCCTAGCATCACACCAGGAGAACAGAGCCCCTGGGGCTGCCTCAGAGCCGGGTATTATCAATCCCAGCCCCATCCCTCAGGCTCGGGCCCCGCTGCCCGCACTCACACTGCACTGTCAGGTAGGCAGAGGCTGATGGCGAGCGGCCCAGGCTGTTGCTGGGGATACAGGTGTATTTTCCAGCATCCTCTGGCTTGACGCGGAAAATGATCAGCGTCCCGTCGATCAGGATCCGCACCCTCAACTTCAGATCGCTACGAGAGAAGAGGGGAGGAGGATCGCAGGGAGACCCCGGGGGTAATGCCCACCCCGTCGGTGGCCCCAACACGATTTGGGAGGAGGAGGAGAAGGAGGACACATGGCCCCGCTGGCTGCAAACTCACTTCTTGAAGTAGACGTTCTCCTCCTCCCAGTACCACAGGTAGGTGAGGTTCCCGGGGTACGCCTCGGCCTGGCAGGTGAAGAGCGCATCCTGGGAGATGTTGACCGTGATGTTCTCCGGAGGGGAAACGATGAAGGGAGGTCCTGGAAGGGGGAGAGAAAAGCGTCACCCCCACCAGTACAGGTGTCCCCCCAAAGGCTGCTCAGGCTCAGCTCCATCACAGCATCATTGGCTGGGAGCTGGTGGAGGGCTCCAGGGCAGAGCTGGCCCCGATCCCCTGGGATCACGGGGCTGACCTCGAGGAGAATGGTGGCCCTGTTATTCCCAACCCTTTCCCCTAATCTCTGCAGCTTTGGGGAGGGGGCCCCGCGCCCGTGGCGCACGGCTCTGCTTCTCCCAGGGCACACGAGCTCACGCCTCCCTTCATCCCGAGCACGTTTCCAGGATGGCATCACCCGCAGGAAAAATCCAGGGGGAAAACAGCAAACTGCCGGGAGCCGGTAGCGAGCGTCCACAGCTCGAAAGCAGAGCAGAGGACACCCCGCGCTCCTCTCTCTGCCGGTAGCTGTTGACCTAATTAAAGATTTATTTAATAAAAGAGGGAGTGAGGAGCGGGAGGCCTACCACGCATCACCGCTATCTGACGAGGCGCTTTGTGACAGCCTCAATCTTTTCCCCGCTTCCCGAACAAAACCGAGCCGCCATCGGGGCCCGGCTGTTCATCGGCACGGCTGCTTCAGCACGGCCACCGCGGTGCCCCAATTAAGCGGATTCCTCCATCCTATAAATGGGATGCGGAGCCACAGGGCAACCGGCACGACACCAAGCCCGCAAGGCCAGCGGGTGGCTTCGGGGCAGCCCCCCCGGGGACGCCAGAGGCCGAGGACAAGCCGGAGGAGCTCGGGTGGAAGATCTCACCTTGAACGAGCAGGCGCGTGGTGTGCACAGCCTCTCCCTGGATGCTGTACGCTCGGCAGGTGTAGGCACCCCTGTCCTCCCGGTTGATGGCGAGCACCGTAAGGCTCCCGTCGCTCACCTGGGGTCGACAACAGAAGACCCTGGAGCGCGGGCAGGGACCCCCCGAGGTGGGATGCGCCCTAGCCCTAGCATCCTCCCTCCCTCCCCGCTTCCCACGGCAAAGAGCTGCCGCTTTTAGGGCCGGCTGAGAAACGGGTTTCCCCGCTCTGCAAGATTTCAGATATTAATAAACCAACACAGGCGTTTCTGCTCGACGCCAAAGGGAAGGGAAAAAAAAAAAAAAAATAACCCTCGCAACGTATTCATCTCCCGCAGAAGTGACTGCCAGGCAGCACACTCCAAACCGCTCCTGCCAAGCGCCCCGGCTCCATCGGCACTTCACAAGGAGCAGGATGCCGCGCCGGAGCATCCCCTGCTCCCGAGGGACCAGCTCCACTGCCGGGGTAGGGTCCGAGGGGGAGGCCCCGGCTCGGCCGCCATCCTTCCCGTGGGGCCACCTCGCAGCTGCACGAGGAGCAGCCGAATTCCTCCCTGGGGACACAGCCGAGGACGGACAGGCAAGGGACCATCACCCCCGGGGTAGTAGCTCCCCCAAGCTCAGGGAGCCCTGCTCCCAGCCAGGCTCCCCCCCCACCTCATTCTGCCTCATCCTTCTATTTCAATTAGTAACAAATGATTCCTAATTACTCTCATTAGTGCCTGCGCCGATTCCAATGCCTGATTTACCAATTACAGCTCGGGGGGAATCTCTGCCTGGGAGCAGCCTCCGGGATGCAAAAAGGGTCCTGGGAGGGGGGCAAAGCCCTCTCTGCCCAAACCCCCCTGCTGCATCCATCCCTGCCTGGGGACACC